ACAATATACCGGCATGTGTAAAAGATACGAGGTCCTGTTTCCCAAATTTCTTACTAGAGTGAAATTCATTTGCAGGGGACTCTGTAGTTGATGATTGAGGTTCACAATTAGACGTTTTAAGACAAGCTACATATAAGTAGTTGCTGAGGCCCCCTCTTAAAATAAGGATGGCAAATGGTTAGCTAAGCAAACGCGCATTCTTTTAAAATAAAGAGGTTAAAAGAAAGAACTGTATAAAAATGTAGGATAATACTAAGACATTTCATAAATTAATAAAGAGTATTTGACTAAATGTTTAAGTAAAGCAAAATATGTAAATTTATCATAAATAATGAAGATAATTGAGTGCTAAAAATAATGTGCAAATGTTAAACCGATAGTTCTGCTTAAAAGAAAGTACCCAATTTGTTGTATAGAAATGTTTTCAGATATAAGCCATTTTCCTCCTAACGCTTTGCCACACTGTTTTTTTAAGCGTTCAATAACACAATTCTTTAAATATCCAAGGCTCCTGGCTTTTTCTTTTGGCAGTACGTCAAGGCAAGGTACCTCATCTGGAGATAGACACAACTCATCTTCGCTAAATTCGCCTTCACCAAATAATGCATGAGACATTGACCGCTTCCTTATATGAAAAAGGAAAAAATTAAACTCTAAATTACCAAAGTATGACGAAGAACAAAAATAAGGTCCATATTCAATATAAGGGCAAACAAATATATATAACTGGTAAATAACGCACACAAAAAAAAGAAATTTCAAAAATAATTGCGGTTACTTTAGCCATCCACCAGAAAATAAAGCAAAAATAATAAATAGCTAAATTAATTCGATATTTAGTATGACGAACTAATTTATAAATCACTTACTGTATAGAATAAATAGCCTTTATAATTAAAAATAAAAACGATGCTTGCAGGTCCGCGTTTTTAGGTTGAAGTAATAGGAGGCGCCCGGAGCGGTGAGAGAGGGATCTGGAGGCAGGGAACCAGAGGTCGAAAATGTGCTCTATTCAGTTAATGTAAAGCGAGACAATAAATCAAAATATTTATCCTACCTTTACTACCTTATATTAAGCATTTTTAATATTGCAAATTTTAAAAAGAGAATTAAAAAATGTTAATGGTATCTGTTATCATTAGTTAGTTCTTCTTGACTGGAGTCAATTTATACGTCAGATTAACAGAGCAATATGGTTTGCCCTAGCTATTCGGTATTTTCACATTTTAACAAAATTACCTTAAAGAAAGTTCATCGCTTTGCTTCTTTCTTTGCTTTTCTTATGTGCCCCTCTCGGAGTCTAACCAGATATATTCCTAGAAGCAGTGCACACATTGTAGTAGTATAAAAGCGTTAATGGTCTTCGAAAAGTTTCTTGAAATACAACATTTGTAGTGATTTTTATTTCATGTGTCAGTGTTTAACGATACTATTCGCATATCGATATTCTCAGAAAAATGAACTCATTTTATATTACAATTTAGTGTAGGTCAACGCAGTTCTCAAGTCCTTCAGTTTAAATGTAAAAAGGCTGAGCTTTCGTCTCTTATGTGGAGTTGAAGTTGGATCTCATACTTATATAGTTACAAAGATCAATCATATCTTCCTGAAATGCTTAATACGCCTTTAGCACTAATATAAATGGACTGCATAC